TGCCCGTTCCTAACCTTCCTGATAGCCCTGTCCTCTAGCTCTGTACCTCGAGCATCCTGAACAGCTTGTTATCGTCAGGTACTTAACCAGCCAGACCTGGGCAGTCCAGCTTAGAGGAGGGAAGGACAGAGGACAGAGGTGCCCAAATGCGGTAGCGCTCACAGGGCTTCAAAAATAACCCAGTAAGGCTGGGCCACCATTCTGAGTCATCCATTGGGGACACAGCTCTGTCGGCACCTGCTGCTGTTTTCTCGGGAAAACTTAAGAAGCCAAAAAGGGGGAGAAGCACCAGCCGGCAGTAGCTCTAAAAATAGGCTGTATCTCAGGATGTTCCCTAGGGAGATGCTGAGCCTCCCCGCTGCAGATGGAGCCTCTGGGAGGCAGGTGGTGGGTGCCTGTGGGTGTGCATGCAGGTGTGTGTGTGTGTGTGTGTGTGTGTGTGTGTGTGTGTGTGTGTGTGTGCACGCGTGAGAGCGCAATGTGTGCATGGGTATGTGTTCTGCTGTGATCCCTTCGTTGGGATTCCAATAGGAGGTGTTTATGTACGAGGGTGCATATGTGTGCATGTCAGTTGTAATCAGTAGGGCTGGTGGGCAGGGAGAGCTTGGACCTTCTTGAGGTGAGCTCAGGTCACTGAATATTTCATGCATACATGTATGTACATAGGAAGATCCATATGTAGCTGTCAGAACATGTTTGGAGAAGACAGGAAGAGGCAATCCATACACATACTATGTGTTTATACCCGTGCATTTGCACATGTGTGAGCATGCATGACTGACCCACGGTTTCTCATCTATAGCATGAATACCATGCTGGTTTCTATCTCATATAGTTGTGCTTGTGAGGAGAAAACATGTCGCCTGCCGAAAGCCAGGTTGATGTGAGTTTTTATTCCAAGTGCCAAGTTTGCACTAAGTTCCTGAGGGTACAGGAAGAAGCTAAATTCCTGATAGGGTCAGGTAGGGTAGAGTGGCTTCAGATGCCCAAGGGCCTCCTTGAGTGTTTGTTGGGGGTTGGGTGGATTTACTATCTGGAACCACCTCTGAGCTGTGTTGTGTTCCCTGCCCTACAGTGCTTCCCTGAGCTCCTACTGGTGCTAGGGAAAGGAATGAGAGGGGTTTGGAGACTGTCTCCCAGACAAGGTAACAGAAAGTTAATCAAGAAGTGGGCAGAGGTGGAATTAGAACTCAGGCTTTGTCTCCTCCCTCTCCAGCTTCCCTCATCCCACAGCTTGGCTAACCTGAGTCTTTGACCCTTCCCTACCTACCTATAGGCCCTTCAAACTGGCACAAGCTGTATCCCATTGCCCAGGGAGATCGCCAGTCACCCATCAATATCATATCCAGCCAGGCTGTGTATTCTCCCAGCCTGCAGCCATTGGAGCTTTTCTATGAAGCCTGCATGTCCCTCAGCATTACCAATAATGGCCACTCTGTCCAGGTGGACTTCAATGACAGTGATGACAAAACTGGTAAGTGGCCTCAGCCAAAACCTGGCACTAATCCCCTTCATGCCCTCATCTTGGGTGGGACAATCTTAGGAGGGGCAGCTTGCTATGATAGGGAAGGGAAACTACCTCTCACTAGCTGTGATGAATCCCAGAGCTCAGTCTTGTCTCTCAGTATATAAAATTTAGTGATAGTATTCTCTAGGGTCATAGAGAGGGCAGTAAAAAAAACAAAACAAAACAAAAACCTGACGTGATGTTTGTAGTCTTGCATAAAACAGATGCTCAAGAAATGCTAACTCCCTTCCTCCCCTTCCTCTCAGAGCTTCAAATTGTGTTTATTTTCACTCCTAGCCTCTCACTGACCTACTTGTGGCCTAGGGCCAAGCCCTCTTCCCTGTGATCAAGCCAGGCCCCCAAAGGAAAAGGAGGGGAGTGAGGTGTTCTTGTGCCAAGCTACTTGCTAGAACTCGGGACGCCTCAGACAGGGTGGTGGTGGGAGACAGAGACAGGCAGATCTCTGAGTTTGAGTCCAGCTTGGTCCACTACAGAACAAGTTTCAGGACAGCAAGAGAAACCCCATTTCAAACAAACAAAAAAAGAAAAAGAAAAGAAAGAAAATGAATTCAGGCAGCCTCTCATTATTTAGTCTTCCCAAGAATCCATTGCCATAGCTGAGGCTCAGTAGCATAACACTTACCCAGCATGCACAAGGCCTTGGCTCAACACATCTGGGGCTGGGAATCCAGTACAGTTGGTACAGTGCTTGTTTAGAATGCACAAGGCCCTGGGTTGGAGCCTCTGCATCTCGTAAGACCCAAGCTCAGTGGTACACACCTGTAATCCCAGAACTCTGGAGCTGGAGGCAAAAAATAAAAATAAAAATAAAAATAAAAATTCAAGGTCATCCTTAGCTACATAGTGAGTTCAAGGCCAGCCTGAGCTAGTGACACACTCTAAAACAACAACCCTCCCATCAGATGGGTTATCAATTGCCCAGCAAGCCTCTATCCTTGCTGCAGAGGGAAGAAAGCCTAGGAGACCCCCAGGAGCAGAAGGCAAAACACCCCTTCATACTGACCCCTTTTCACACACAGCCCCAGACACAGGATATGGGGTCTAGATGACAATTTATGAAGGAGCAGTTTGTAGGCCAGAATATACCTGCTCTAGCTTCCCTGGTCTCTCCAATTCATCCATGACCTTCAAGGTCCTCACCACCATGGACAAGAGTGAGGCCTGCAGGAAATTGTGGCAGTGCCTTCCCAGGCCTCTTTGTCTTAGGACCAAAGTACAGGTTTCCAAGATAAATTCCCTGACCTTAGGAATATTCTGTAGTGAAGAAATTTTGTTCTCATCACAGGGTCTGTAAGGGAGAGAGTGGGGTGAGAAGAGCACCTATTAGGGTTCTTTATGTAAGGAAATGTTTGTTTGTTTGTTTGTTTTACTCTTCCCCACCCCCTACTCAATAAAAGCACTCAGAAAATTTACCTGCCAAACAGAAAAATCAAGAGAAAAGAAAGCCCTGCCTTTTATAGAGTGTGACATTAGTTATTTAGCCCTAAGTTCCTTGGGAGGGTAATAAAAAAAAAAAGGAAGACACTTAGCTATAGTTTTTTTCTGCAGAAGTAAGTCTAGAAGAGCCTTAGAAAAGAGAGAAAATATGTTATCTTGTTTTGAAATCTAAGAAAAATCTTTTATCCAGAGCCTTGGAAAGGCAACATGGGACCCTAGATAACCATGGATGACAGTTTATGGAGGAGCAGTTTTCATGGCAGTCCCCTCGAACAGCCTTCAAAGATTCAACTTAAACATGCCTCTTTGCCTTAGGATCAGAGTCCAGGCTTCAAAGATAGATTCCTAGGTAGAGGCCTTAGGCAATAGTCTTTAGTGAGTATTTGTGTAACTGGTCTGAGGGTTTGCATGAGCGACCTGGCTGGGGCTCCACTTCCCTACCAGGCCTGAGGAGCCAGGGAGTCAGTGGAAAGAGGAAGACAGATGGGACTCTGCCACCACCCATTGTAGGTTACTCTGGAGGTCAAGTAGGCTGATAACCACAGAGCACCACTGAAAGTAGGACAGTCACAGTGAACAGTAGGACATCTGCAACCAGATAAAGCAAGAAGGGAGAACCCCCTCTGGTACCATCTGGGTTCTAGGAGAGAAACACTACAGATGGATCCAGAAGTCTCCCAACCACAGAAAAGCCTAGGATTCTGTGGTAAGCCACCAAGCCCTGACTCTTTTTTGTCAACTGGTACTACGGCCCTAGATTGCCTGTTTCTGACATAAGGCAGGGCAGCAGAGATGGGCCTCTGGATTTTGTCCTGTTCACCCATCATGAAAGGACCTGGTAGAACTCTGAGCTTAGAGTTGTCACTTGATCTAGGAGCTCACATTCAGGGCTAGCTAGGGCCTCTCCACCAACAGATCCCTTTCATCTGGAAATTCTATCAGTCTCAAGAGGCCTTATGTGTAGCCCTAGATCACCAGCTATCAAGGTGAGAAAGTCACAAAATCAGCATGGCTGGGGCCTCTAAAGAGGCCATTTGTACAGGGGGTAGCCCTGGGAGGCCCCAAGACTATCTGGGAGGGTAGGGACTCTCAGGAGCTAGCCACCTATTCCAAGGAAATACCATGTTCTGGCAAGGTTAGCAGTTTGAGACACAGAAGCTATAGGCTTGCAATGGTTTTGTAACCTTGCCCCATTTCCTCCTTTATAAAATAGGTCCAGCTAGACACGGTGACATACTCCTTTAATCCCAGTACTCAGAGGCAGAGGCAAGCTGATCTCTGTGAGTTCAAGGCCAGCCTAATCTACATAGTGAGTTACAGGCCAGCCAGAGCTACACAGTGAGACATTGTCTCAAAAAACAATAAATAAATAATAAAGTAAGATAAAATTGGTCCAAAAATAAATTCTGTCCCTCCTGAACTACTAAGATAACAGACAAAATAATTGTTCCAACTCAGCCTTGGGTCTGGGTCCCAGATATGGGAGGCCTATTGTTAGTGGGAACAAAGAGTCTAAGAGGCAGGAGTCCAGTCTACAGGAAACCTGGCAAGAGTTGGAAGGAGGGACCAATGCAAAGCCCTCCTTTATCAGAACAGCCACTTAGTAGGCTGTCACACCTTCTGCCTTGACCCAGACTGGGGATCAGATTGTAGGGACTGGTGGGACAGACCCATGCCCTATCCAGCAGGTTTTCCACATGAAAACTATAGCCCCTAACCAGGCTTGGTAGTATAGGCCTGTAATCTTAGCTACTCTAGAGGCTGATGCAGGAGGATAATAAGTTCAAATTGAGCCTAGAAACTTAGCAAGACCCTACCTCAAAATGACAAAAGTCCAAAAAGGGTCAGAGATATAGCTCAGTAGTAGACTGCTTGCCTAGCATATTTGAGGCCCTATGTTCAATCCTGAACATGGTCAAAATAGATAAAGTATGGAGCCCTTGGTTGAAGATGTTGCTCATCAATGAAATGCTTGTCTAACATGCCTAAAGCCGTGTTTGATCCCCAACATCTCACACACACATATAGTCCCTACCTGGACTGCCTGGGTCCTGGCACTGCCACATCCCACTTCTACCCACAGTGGTAACTGGGGGCCCCCTGGAAGGGCCCTATCGTCTCAAGCAGCTCCACTTCCACTGGGGCAAGAAACACGATGTGGGCTCAGAGCACATGGTGGACGGCAAGTCCTTCCCCAGTGAGGTGAGATCTTCTTTGCTGCATCCCTCTGCTGCCTGGGGAAGAAGGGTGTATGGGACAGTGTGGGGCTCAAGGATGCCTGGGGCAAGGGCTCTGGAGAACATGTGGAACTGCATCCAGGGCCTTTGGGAGAGACCCCTTCCCCATCTGCATGCTGTCCACATTCCTGGGAAGGACCCAGAATGGGATGGATGCTACCTGTTGTTCTCCGGGGGCTCCCTGGGATCCTGAGATTAGGGGGCTTGCAGCTCTACCTCTTCCAGCAGGAGCAGGGGGAGACTGATTTCATGCCCCTGTTGCTTCTGGGGGTGCTTAGCCCTGGCCTGGCTTGGCTTGTTTTTTGCCTCTCCAGCTACATCTGGTTCACTGGAATGCCAAGAAGTACAGCACTTTTGGGGAGGCGGCTGCAGCCCCTGATGGTCTGGCTGTGGTTGGTGTCTTCCTGGAGGTGGGTGGTGGATACCCAGGGCAGGGGAGAGTATGGGAGGCTCATATGCCCTTAGTTTTAGAATGAAGGGATTGGAGGCTCATACTGTCTTCTCCCTGACAGACAGGAGATGAGCACCCCAGTATGAACCGCCTGACAGATGCACTCTACATGGTTCGGTTTAAGGTGAGACCAAGGGTTGCTGTTCCTTTCTAGAACGGCCAGCTGGGGAGAGAGGATGGATGAGACTGGCTCATGGAGTAGCCCATTGACTTTTGCATTCTGGCAGCACCTCTGGCTGAGACCTAGGATGAGGGTCTTCTTCATCACCCATGGGTGCCTAGCATACAACTTGGTAGGGTATGTATAAAGTACTGATCATATGGATGGTGGCCTGCTACACAGCCCCAGTGAGGGCATCCAAAGGCAAGGGTATGAACTCGATGACCAGAGAGCCCCCAAAGCCACAGCTTTTACATGTAAGCAAACGAGAGGGCCTGGCCCTGGCTGGGAGGTGGCACCTGGGGTCACAGATGTTTGCCCACAATTTGCATCATCATGTCAAGAAGAGGACCAAATCCTGCCTACAGCAACAAGCAAGGAAGCTGCTGGGCTGATTTTGGTAGAAGCTCTGTGCTAATTCCTGGGTTCCCATCCTGCCCAGGATACCAAGGCCCAGTTCAACTACTTCAACCCCAAGTGCCTCCTGCCCACCAGCCTGCAGTACTGGACCTATCCCGGCTCCCTGACCACACCCCCGCTCAGTGAGAGTGTTACTTGGATTGTGCTCCGGGAGCCCATCAGAATCTCTGAGAGGCAGGTGAGTCCGCCCAGAGTTCCAAGAGTAGGTGCATTCAGATTTCTGCCATGGCAGGGTAACCCCCCAACCAGAAAGCTGTGTTCTGGGCCTTCCCATTTGCCTCCCATCATTGACTGCTAAACCAAAGGATCTTTGATTGCTCTAAGTTTGGTTGCTAGTCCTGAGGACCTAAACATGGAAGAAGGGAAGACGCCCGATGCTGGGATTACTCTTAGTGTGTTGCAGTCATAAAGTTGCAAATGCCCAAATGCCTCAGCTAGACAAAATTGGAACCAGCCTTCAGGTTCCATGTTCAAGGGCCCACTAGGAAACAGATAACTAAGGGCAGGGAGAGTGAAGCCAAGCAAGAGAAGCAGAAGGGTAGAGCTCCCTGAGCAGCATCTGGGATTATGGAGGAAAACATCACCCATCCCTTCCCTGACCATCCTTTTTGTCTTAAGATGGAGAAATTTCGTAGCTTGCTTTTCACCTCAGAGGATGATGAGAGGATCCACATGGTGAACAACTTCCGGCCACCACAGCCGCTGAAGGGCCGGGTGGTCAAAGCATCCTTCCAGGTCTGACCTTCCCACCTGCCCAACCAGCCACTGGGGCACCATCTTCCCAAGGGCTTCCATGTCAGCGGACACCAAACCATCTGCGGCTCTCTCCCTGAGGGTGCTGGGGGCCCTCCTTCAGCTGGCTCGCCCCTTGGCTACATTGGAGGGTTCTTGATGGGACTCGAGTTGGGGGTACCCTTCTGCTGCCCTGGGGGCTGGAAGAACAGGAACTGAGCAGGGGCTAAGCCTGGGCTGCCTCTGCTCCCCAAGACCCAAAGGCCCCTGGAAACTTCCTCTTGTCTTCCCTGCTGGCTGTGTCAGCAGCCCCAACTGGAGCTCACACTGTGATGGCCAAGACACAGCTCCCTGGGGTGGGGGTACCCTTCTGCTGCCCTGGGGACTGGAAGAACAGGAACTGAGCAGGGGCTAAGCCTGGGCTGCCTCTGCTCCCCAAGACCCAAAGGCCCCTGGAAACTTCCTCTTGTCTTCCCTGCTGGCTGTGACAGCAACCCCAACTGGAGCTCACTTGGGGCAGGCAGCTGTCTCTGCCATAAAGACTCAAGCAATAATTAGAGGTGGGCAGAGCTGCCCACTCTGCATTACCTCTTTTGCAGGCCTCTGCCATACATGCACCTCACTGCCAGGCCATTAAAATAGCACCCAGATGCTGGAGGTGATGTGGCCTCCTCCAGCCACCTACCTGCTGCCACGGGCAGGCCCTGGCTATAGCTTACATACTATCTCCCTCTGTTCCTACCCAACCACCAAAGCCACCTACATAAC